TTATAAAATTTTGTACCTTGGATATTCCCAAAGATTTGAGTGGACTTTTGAAGTTGCTATCGTATGGTTTATAATTTTATTTGTTTTCAATTTTATCGATCTTGTAGAGTAATGTAAACTTATAGAATCACCACCTACAAGATTGCCCACCTGTGGCCGGACATCCTGTGTATCTATATATATATATATTTCTACTGTTTTATTTCGGATCGTGCAACTGGCCAACGAAACGTATTTATTGAGTCTTCTCAGTTCTGGTTCTTGTCTCCACGGAATACCTCGAGTTCGGTTCGCTCGATCGAATCTTAAGATTCTGGGGGAAGTCCCCGCCGGTTCCAAAGTGTCCCCGATTGTTTCTATCGAATGCCACCAGTCTAACATTGACCTTATTGGCTCCGAGAAGTTTTCGGTTGTCCCTAATGGATTCTACGAGTTTCATGCTTTATCCTTCTGGAATCGAGTCTAAAAACGTGTCTATTGTTTCCTACGATTCCGAGCACGCGAACGACACGCTAATGGACAAAATGATTAACTACCATTATACAGATAACAAATTTCATGTACATATTTGGTAAAATCTCATTAATTAAAATAAAATTAAATTAAATTCTTTGGGCTATGTATTGATGTAACAATGTTTGAAAATTTCAGTTAAAAGTGTTTAAAAAAAAAAAAAACAAATGGAAATGGAAGAAAGTATTATTCCAAGCTTCAGATCAGGCTAGTTATCGAAGTAAGAACGTAGTAGTTTTTTTCGATTAAAGTTTCCACAAATAAATTTATATTTACAGAGCTATCGCAGATAAGGTCTCACGGGACAAACCGTACGACCAGACTCTATCGAATTCTTTAAATCTGAGAAAGTCTCTATTAAGTTTCGCAAGTTCGAGGTCGTCGACACAGTCTCCTACGAGTCTGGGGCTCGTTTCTATCGGGTACTACAACTCTAGATTACCCCAACAAAGTTCTGCGAGTGTGCGGTCGTCTCTATCATGTTTCGCGAATCCAGGATCGTCTTTCTTGGGTCCTACGCGTTCGAATTCCCCCCTATTGTATTTCACGACTATTTGCCGTCTTTGATAACAGGTTTCGTACGTAGTACACGTCTCTATTGCGCTCCATAGCTATAAAACATTTATCGGTGCTCCACCGCGTGATCCTGAATATTTTCTCGGACAACATTGTCGATAAGGACTAATTTAAGTTACGAAAAAGAATACAAAAGCAATGATAACTTTTGATTATCGCGATACGATCTTGGAATAATCGATTAAGAATATTTACAATTAGTTCGATATAGAGGGTGTTCAGCCAACCCTGGGAAAAATTTTAATGGGAGATTCTGGAGGGCAAAATAAGACGAAAATCAAGAATACCAATTTGTTGATGGAGGCTTCGTTAAGAAGTTATTAACGTTTATAGCTCCGTGTGTGGAACAGCTGCTAGTAGTTTTACAAGCGGCACTTCAAACGTTAATAACTTTTTAACGAAGCATCGATCAACAAATTAGTATTCTTGATTTTCGTCTTATTTTGGACTCTAGAATCTCCGGTTAAAATTTTTCCCCGAACAATACTAATTAACACTGACTACATAATGCGATGTTTTTTTTTTTTTAAGTTTAAATAAATAAATTCAAGTACAATTCTTTCTATGGAATATTTTGGTTATTGCGATTTTAATAACTGCAAATAAAAAGGTTAGCTTTCTTTTTGGGGGACATTCGAATTTTACACAGTGCAACTACGCGGTTGAAAATGTTTCAATGATTTTTTACAGAATTGTTTTATCCATTCGAAACGTACTGAATTTGTGTAAAAACCTAAAAGATCCCAGCGTGGTAGTCCGAAAAAACAGCCTGGAATGTCATTGTTGATTTTTTTATGAAGTTGCCTGTCTTGCAATGAAGCAAAATTCATTCACTGAATGCCATTCGCCGCTGACAGGCTGTGCCCGTAACCCATTTTCCAAGCTTTGATATTTTCCCAATTTTTTTTTTTTTTTTTTTGCGTGAATGTCACTGTGCGCCGTGCTATATCGCTGGTTTTTAACTTTCTGCTATTTTGTCAACTGGTTAATGAAGTTCTGCCTGGATAATAACTTTTAATTCTTCGATATCGAACGTTATTGGTAGATCGGATATTGACTCATCGGAAAAGTTAAAAACCCTATGTTGAAATTGGGAAAACCACTTTTGGAAACTTTCTTACACTCGAAACCGTACTTTCTATTCGCATTAAAAATATTTTTCAACCGTTTTATGTGGAAATGCGTATAATATTACAGTATGGTAATGCAGTTATACAGGGTGTTCTTTCTTGTTGACTGAGGCTTCGTTAAAAAGTTATTAACAATTAAATTAAAAAATTTTAAATCATTCTAAAAAAATTATTTTCGATTGCGGGGGTCAATTACAATAATTTTTGGTCATTAGACATACCCTTGAAATCTTACCCAGTTTCGAGAAAAAAATTCTAGAAGGTTTGAAATTTTTCGACAAAATTAAAAAATTTCAAATCGTTCTAAAAAAATTATTTTCGGCTCCAAGGGCCTATTACAAACATTTTCGGTGATTAGACATACCCTCGAATTCCTACGCATTTTCGAGGAAAAAATTCAATACGGATGGAACTTTAAACGGTGGCCGAACACCCTGTATAGTTAATATTATAAACAACCTGTTTTAATACTGAGAAATATAAAATATAAAAATTTGATAATATTATTCAATTATAGACATTTCTCTCATTTTTAAAGATAGCGTCTTATAGTTTTGCCTCTTGAAATTATATCATTCTGATTTAAATTGTAAATTCGTTTAGCTTACGTAGATATTACTTAAAAATAAAATCTTGTTTTACATATAACATTATTTAGTATAAATACCATACCGATAAGTCCTTTGTTGCAGTAATTCTGAGCGTGTTTTAGTATTTCATCCGGACAGCGTGAGTAGTTTGTCTAAAGTGGTGGCGCTAGAGTCGTGTCGGAACTAAAGAAATTTGAAGAATATTTTAATTTTCACCGTGGCAGGATTGAATTTTCGTCGCGCGTCTGCCATAATTAAGGGGTTAACTCCAGACACAAGAAATCCCCCTTAAGCCTTTCGAGTTGTTTCGTGTCGCACGCGTGGGAACGCAGCCACAGGCAACGGGTTAACCAATTACGAAAGTAATCAGAGTATAATCCAACTCTGTTACGTAACCAGTCACGAATGGTTTAACGAATTTGAACGTGGTCCCGATGGAGTCCATGATGCCGAAGACTCGGGGGGTATACACGCGTTAATCAATGTTTTTGATCGTTTCATGGAGTTGGTCGTAACCAACAGTGTTCCTCAACTTTTCTTTCTATTTTTTACATTTTCTTAAAGAACTTAAAAATAACGAATTTAATTCCATATATACGTTTCTTCTGTTTTGCTTGTATGAAAAGTAACGTGTAGTCGAATATTGTTTATTAACCTTTTCGCGTGGCTTCAATTATTAAAAAACAGTTTTATACTTGTGATGGAACTTTGGAGAATCTAAAAGTATAATTTTCATTTTGCATAATGTTATATTTTTACATAGTTTGTGTGCGATTTTACGTACACGAATGTACAACTGTGGGGAACAGTGGTGTATACGATTTTCACGTAACAGGATACGGTGATTAATTAAAATGAAGGAAACGAAACGGATTTGAACGAAAGTACGACTCGTAATCCCTGACAGGGGGAGGATTCCGATTATTCGATTTTGATTTTAACGAGTCTTTGCAAGGTGATGGTATACTATGTTCCTAATGGTATGTGTAAAATATTAGGTGTAGATACTCGATAATTTTAATGATATAAACAATTAAAGTTGCACACCATACCCATATATAATGAGTATAGAGACTAAATAGTCCATTCAAAATGGATAAAATTACCTATTTATAATAAAAATTGTTACAAATTTTCTCGACTGGATTTTTACAAATTTACTCTGATTTTCTATACGGAGAATGAATATAAACATTTATTTCCATTGCATTATTAACACTTCTGCAAGTATCTATCATTCCAATTTCTTTGATACAAGTAGATACACACTTACAATTAATTCTAGTGTTATAATATAGAGATAAAGCGTATCAAAATTGCCCGTATTATGAGAAAGTTTTACCCAACTATGTTAATTGTATATTTTTGTAAATCGTTACTGTAAATATTAAATAAAATAGATTTATTGTTATAATTTATGTTTTTCATTATTTATAGTTTTAGCCTTACATGAAAATTTTATAAAAATTACATGTCAATGAACCGGGGAATCGAACAGGAGACCTTGGATTTACCAGCCAGGTACTCTGACCGCCTCGCCAAAGTCGCTTCGATATCAACTATTTATACTCATGGTATACAGGGTGTTCACCCACCCCTGGGAAGATTCTAGAGACCAAAATAAGACGAAAATGAAGAATATTAATTTCTCGACTGAGGCTTCGTTAAAAAGTTATTAACAATTAAATTAAAAAATTTCAAATCGTTCTGGAAAAATTATTTTCGGTTAAGGGGATCCATTACAATCATTTTTGGTGAATAGACATACCCCCGAAATCCTACACACTTTCGAGAAAAAAATTCGAGAAGGTGTGAAATTTTTCGACGGAAAAAAAAATTTCAAATCGTTCTGGAAAAATTATTTTCAGTTGCGGGGGCCAATTACAATCATTTTGGGTGAATACACACACCCCCGAAATCCTACGCATTTTCGAGAAAAAAATTCGAGAAGGTATGAAATTTTTTCACAAAATTAAAAAATTTCAAATCGTTCTGGAAAAATTATTTTCGGTTGTGGGGGTCAATTACAATCATTTTTGGTCATTACACATACCCCCGAAATCCTGCGCATTTTCGAGAAAAAAATTCAGCACCAGCGAAACTTTGAACGTTAATAACTTTTTAACGAAGCCTCCATCATGAAATTGGCATTCTTGATTTTCGACTTATTTTGGCCTCTAGAATCCCCCATTAAAATTTTTCCCAAGGGTGACCGATCACTCTGTATAGGTGTGATGCACAACTTTAATTGTCTATATCTTTAAAATTATTGAGTATCTACACCTAATATTTTGCACGTATCATTAGGAATACGTGTACTATCACCTTGCAAATACTCGTTGAAATCGGCGTGTCCCACTGGGGGGCCATGTGGCTCCCTGAGAGTCCCGAATCCCGAGCGGAGTCAGTCGCGCTGCGAGTGTCGACCGCGAAGGTTGTCGGATTACGGTTGCGTCTCGCAGGTGCAACGTTCCCTTGCATTTATTCATGTCGCGCCACGGTGATCGCGCGATCGACATCGATGGATCGTTCGAGAAAAGGAAACGAAGTTCTGTCGATCCAATCGACCCTACACGTGAACAAACGACTGCTCGGTAACGAATCTCGAAACACGCGCGACACGTGACCATTTTTTAATTTTCCCACGCTTTTCGCATCGAAACGAACCCCCCTTTCTTTCGTGTCCCAAACATTATTATCGTACGCCGCGTTACGCGTCGAAACGCAAGTTTCCAATCTCGTTTGGCAATTTTATTTTAAGACACTGCTTCCGTGATTTTTTTTTTTTATTTTTTTCGTGCCCGTAAACGCGGACGTTAATTCCAGACGCGATAACGAAATTTGGATTTAACGACGCGGACAGTGTCGTCAGGAAGGTTTTAAAATTCAATCTTCTTCGAGACTTCGTGCTCTCGCGGCGTCGACCACGCGGAAAAGTGCAAACGATTTAGGAGGGGGGTTGGACAATTTCGTGATTCGTGACCCGAAATTGTGCGGCGAGATTTTTCTTTCTTTGGGGAATTCTATTTGAAGTCGGTCTTCCGAAGGAATCGTTTTTAAAAAAAGAATGATAAATAGACATTGGTGTAACCCTTAAATGAATTATTGGGACCCTCCACAAGTGTAAACTAATATCGTATATGTCGATATAATTATTTTAAAATTTGAGTAATCCTTCGTTAGTTCGTCAGTTTTTAAATGCTTTAAAGTCGATTTCAATTTACCAATTTGGTAAAAATCAACGTTAAATAAAATAATTCAGTTGAGATTGGAGTCCACTTAAGGGTTCGGTGTAAATATGTTATATAACGAGTATGTATTCAGATCGTTTCATTGTATTTTTTTTAATGGTTCCGATGATTTACTTCCAAAGGAAAAATCGTCGTGCAATAATCCGCTGGCGACGTAGAAAATCCTTGAAAAGCGACTCGACGAATTTTCTCCGGTTCTTAGCCTTTTCATTAAGCGTTGCCGATGCGCCGACGCATCGGTCAAAGCGTTGTGCGAAACGAAATAAAATTTCGCTCGCGATCGTTCGAATGCAAGCTTTGCAAAAAAAAAAAAATATCGACTTACCGATCGTCTTTGTGTCAGACGATACGAATCGTTCGAATACTCGACGAAATCATTTTACAAGAAAATACAACCATGCAAATGGAAAGCTTCTTCGACGTTTAAAAAGTCGTAAATCATCGTAGACAAATCGCGTAAAAAATTTATCAAATATCTACTGGACTCGAGTATATTTATTAAAATCCTTCCCCAAAGAAGATTAAAGTAGATAAAGTAACAATGGAAATAAGTGTGAAACGTCAAAGTGTGGAAGTTTAAATAAAAATTATAAACACGTATACAGGGTGTTCGGTACCACAGGGAAAAATTTTAATGAGTGATTCTAGAGGCCAAAATAAGACGAAAATCAAGAATACCAATTTGTTGATAGAGGCTTGGTTAAAAAGTTATTAACGTTTAAAGTTCCGCCCTTACTGAATTTTTTTCTCGAAAATGGGCAGGATTTCGGGGGTATGTCTGTTCACCAAAAATTATTGAAATCGACCCCCGCAACCGAAAATAATTTTTCCAAAACGGTTTGAAATTTTTTTTTCGCAGAATTTAAGCACCTAATTAGGTTTTCGCTAAGGAATTTTTTTCTCGAAACTGCGTAGGATTCCGAAGGTATGTCTATTCACCGAAAATGATTGTAATTGACTCCTGCAACCGAAAATAATTTTTTTAGAATGATTTGAAATTTTTTAATTTTGTCGAAAAATTTCAAATCTTCTCGAATTTTTTTCTTGAAACTGAGTAGGATTTCGAGGTTATGTCTAATCACCGAAAATGTTTGTAATTGACCCCCGGAAGCGAAACTAATTTGTTTAGAACGATTTGAAAAATTGTAATTTTGTCGAAAAATTTCAAACATTCTCGAATTTTTTTCTAGAAACTGCGTAGGATTTCGGAGTTTAGTCTATTCACCAAAATTGATTGCAATTGACCCCCGCAACCGAAAATAATTTTTCCAAAATTATTTGAAATTTTCTAATTTTGTCAAAAAATTTCACACCTTCTCGAATTTTTTTCTCGAAACTGCATAGGATTTCGGAGTTTAGTCTATTCACCAAAATTGATTGCAATTGACCCCCGCAACCGAAAATAATTTTTCCAAAATTATTTGAAATTTTCTAATTTTGTCAAAAAATTTCACACCTTCTCGAATTTTTTTCTCGAAATTGCGTAGGATTTCGAAGGTATGTCTGTCCACCAAAAATAATTGTAATTGACCCCCGGAGCCGAAAATAATTTTTTTAGAATGATTTGAAATTTTCTAATTTTGTCAAAAAATTTCACACCTTCTCGAATTTTTTTCTCGAAACTGCGTAGGATTTCGTGGATATGTCTATTTATCAAAAATGATTGAAATTGACATACACCCTGTATACGATAAAATGAAATTAATTTTATGTATTATATGATTCTACGTGAAAAATTAGAATTTAAAAAATTGTAGAATTGTTTACGTAAAATCTACGAGAAAAGATTATCGAAAAGGGTCCCTAATTTTCCGAGCACAGAGTACCAGACTCTAATTTTCTCGAAAGTTTGACGATTGTATGCGATCCGAGGTAAGCTTAAATAGTCGAATATAACGTTTGATTCACGATCGGGGCGAATTTTGTCCGCGTCGGGTCCAGCTTCGTTCGATTTTTATTTTTAGTTGGAATCAGTTCAAGGCTGGCGATAAATACTCCGGTTCGCAATTTTACATTTATACATGGTATTTGAGAGACTGTTCCCGCCGAGTTACGCGTTTCGTTCGAGCGACAAATTATTTTCCACAAACGAAAGGGGATCCTCGTCAGAAATTGGACAAAAAAAAAAAAATTAATTTGAATATAATACTGTGCATTTCGTCGAGAGCGAGTCACCGTATAATTAATAATTTATCGATGTCTAAAATAAAGAAATAAATCATGCAACGAGATCCAATCCTACCAACGAAGTCAAAGGTGGCTCGATTTTCGAAACGAAGAATTTTGTATTCCTTGAGGGAGTTGCAGGTCACGTGTAAAAATATTTGACTGACGACTAAGGTATTCTCCAAGTAAACTTCTGAACAAAAGATATTCTGAAACCAATCGCCACCGACGAAACAGTATCGAGCTGGTTACGATTGGTCTCCTCGAATAAACGTATAAATTAAAAAGGGAAGACGCGATTTATTCCTGTAATCGGGTCACCTAACGTGCAGGTGGCCGTTGTAATCGGTTAAAATTGTAACATTTTGTGTTAAGAATACGATAATTAAGAAAGTATTACAGAGTTGAAAATTTGTTTACGAAAATGTTCGTAGCAATTTCTCTGAATGCTAAGCGATAAACAAGTTATAATTTCACAAAAATAGGAAGAGTAGATCGTGAAGAGGGAATATAAATTAAAGATTACGAAAGCATCCCTTGCAACAATTTGTATTTTTAATTTCATTCCTTCGTTTGGTATTTTGTTAGTTGGATGCAAGCTCACGCGATTTTAGCTATAATGTAGCATTAGTTTATTTTTTTTTTCTTCTTTTTATTTACAAACTGTCGGATTTCTCTTTAGGAATTTCTCGGGGGGCCAGAAATTAGTGATTCCCCCGCTCCATAGCGACAAACCCACCAATAACAAATATTCAACGGTTGCCAACATCACGCAAAATCCTTTAATCCTCTCGAATTCGAGCATACGATCTGTCGCAAACTTGAATCGTTGCCAAAACTATCGGATACACCGTTGCAGTATTTGAAATCGTATAATTTTCGATATCTTGGGGCCGTACGGCGATGTTTGTTTTAAACTTCAACGATATATCTCGAACTACATCGCGAACACAACGCGAACAGAAAAAGTACAAATAATCGAAAATAAAATATTACAGGGCGTGAATCTAAAAATTCCGATTGAACTTTCAGAACGATTCGACGAATCAAATATTTCGTACGACTAATGGAAAATATTGGAATTTTTTAATCGGGTTCGATTTAAAAGCGTATTCATATTTGATTGTGTCTTGAAAAATTTTAATGGGAGATTCTAGAGGCCGAAATAGGTCGAAAATCAAGAATACCAATTTGTTGATAGAGGGCTCGTTAAAAAGTTATTAACTTTCAAAGTTCCGCCATTACTGAATTTTTTTCTCGAAAATGCGCCGGATTTCGGGGGTATGTGTAATGACAAAAAATGATTGTAATTAACCCTCGCAACTGAAAATAATTTTTTTACAATGATTTGAAATTCTTTAATTTTGTCGAAAAATTTCATACATTCTCGAATTTTTTTCTCGAAACTACGTAGGATTTCGAAGGTATGTCTATTCACTAAAAATGATTGTTATTGACCCCTGCAACCGAAAATAATTTTTTTAGAACGATTTGAAATTTTTTAATTTTCCCGAAAATTTGTCCAGCTTCCTGAATTTTTTTCTCGAAACTGCGTAGGATTTCGAAGGTATGTCTATTCACTAAAAATGATTGTTATTGACCCCTGCAACCGAAAATAATTTTTTTAGAATGATTTGAAATTTTTTAATTTTGTCGAAAAATTTCATACCTTCTCGAATTTTTTTCTCGAAACTACGTAGGATTTCGAAGGTATGTCTATTCACTAAAAATGATTGTTATTGACCCCTGCAACCGAAAATAATTTTTTTAGAACGATTTGAAATTTTTTAATTTTCCCGAAAATTTGTCCAGCTTCCTGAATTTTTTTCTCGAAACTGCGTAGGATTTCGAAGGTATGTCTATTCACTAAAAATGATTGTTATTGACCCCTGCAACCGAAAATAATTTTTTTAGAATGATTTGAAATTTTTTAATTTTGTCGAAAAATTTCATACCTTCTCGAATTTTTTTCTCGAAACTGCGTAAGATTTCGAAGATATGTCTATTAACCAAAAATGATTGTAATTGACTCCTACGACCGAAAATAATTTTTTTAGAATGATTTGAAATTTTTTAATTTTCCCGAAAATTTGTCCAGCTTCCTGAATTTTTTTCTCGAAACTGCGTAAGATTTCGAAGATATGGCTGTTCACCAAAAATGATTGTAATTGACCCCTACGACCGAAAATAATTTTTTCAGAATGATTTCAAATTTTTTAATTTTGTCGAAAATTTGTCCACCTTCCTGAATGTTTTCGTCGTGTTTGGGCTAATTTTCATTGGAAAAACATTTCCAATCCATTAGTGATGGGAAATATGCAAACATCCTAAACGCTTAGAAACGTGCAAACATCGTAAAAATTGTTATTTTCGCTACTATGATTTAACGCATTGCCCGAGTACGCAAAAACAATTGCGTGGGCGTGAGTCACAATTGTTTCGTACACGCGGAAGGTATTGTATTAAAGTGCAACACGACGATCAATTACGCCGTGGAAACAACGCGGCTAACTGTTTGAAATTTCGAAAACGAAGCTTCCAATTTCGAAAAATTCCGTCGCGTCGGATACTCTTTCGAAACGCGATTAAAGATCGTACGCGTGCAATTAAACGATTATTTTCTATCAACTTTGCACGCGTACAGTCCGTTAGAGGTTCCGCTGTAATTTGGTAAAGGTGAAATTTTATTTTCGATATGAGAAAAATGATGGATTATGTGAATCGTTCGCAGAGCTCGATCTGGACTATTTGGAAAGGAGAGGAGGCGAGTCAATATCCTGTGAAAACGCCGAAAGCGGATCGAAAGAGGAAGAAAGCCCCGCAGACACTCTGGATCGTATCAAAGTTGTGTTTCTCGGTGCACCTGGGGTGGGAAAGTCCAGCATAATTAGGGTGAGCACGATTTTCACTGAATCAGATCGTCATCGATTAATCGATGATTACACAGAGATCTCCAACCGTACTTTTAACCACGAAATTCTAACACTCCCCCGTAAAACAACATTATTATCCGAAATAATCTTTTGGAACAGGATTTTCGTACCACGAACATCGTTTGAAATTTTTAAGTTGGCTTCGAAAGGTTATTAAAATAAATAATATTTTCTACCTCACTTGTTGCTTTATTTTGTTAAAACCAACAAGTTAAAAGTTAATAAATTCAATTCTAAACCCTAAAACTAAAAAGTTCTTATTGAAAAATTCTAAAAAAAGAAATTGACGATTCGATTAAAATTGCGAGAGTGGTAACTTTATTTTGTCTTCGTGTACCTATAATGTAACACTAGCGTACGGTGCAATTTAAAATAAAAAGAAGAAAAGTACAGTTATACTTCACAAACACATTGTCGTACGCGTGAAAAAAATAATTGGGCGGATATGCTGTACGTATAGATGAAAATAATTGGACGAACACCTGTCTATATAATGAAAGCCCTGCCCAAGCTTCGTAACGCTCGTTAATGAAAGACCTAGTATAATTCCATTTAGTAAAATGAAGTTTGCAATCAGCAGATATTAAAACAATGTCCCGCCCGGCCATCAAGTTTTTACTGTTCGTTTTTCCCCTTTTTCCTTTCATCGCGAACGCGCGATTATTAGATTCACTTCACGCTCTTATAATTTCAAAAGTCACCAATCACCCAAGTAATTATTCATAGCAACGAAGTCGATTCGTCTTTCTTTTCATCTTTTTTGTTTCAACTTGTCGGAAAGTTGGAATAAAAAAGTGAGGTTATGTATATTTTGACAGGTTCACAGGTGAAAACAAGTAACTGTCGTTACTGTGTTCAAAATGCCAGGAAGTCAAATGCTAATTTGTTAAACATGCATCGAATGAAATTTCTGCCATTTCTGCTAATATTTAATTGAATAAGTCACCATTTTAACTGTTAGGTACATTTACTAAATACATAGTGGCTCAGGTATCCAATGAAGTTACCTTGGAAATTATAAAATATTGATAGTATTATATGTTATAAAAAAGATTAACACGTTGGCTGCCAGTCTAAAATCGTAAAATTGTTTGCAAGACCAAAACTTTGACTTTAGTCAATTGTAAACTGTATAAAACTATACAAATGTATATTCATTCTTTTATAGAAAATTACAGTAAACTTTCAAAAATTCAGTCGAATAAATTTTTTACAAGTTTTATTAAAAATTACGAATGGGGTCCTTTTGACTGCTTTGGTAGTACCAGTATTAAAAGTTGTCCTACTAGTTACTCTCGTAACCTCGTTAGAATTTATGAAGCCTATTAAAATTCATTTTCTTTCACATTTCAACTTGAGAATTAATTGTTCTAGTTCCACTGTTAAAAGTTCTGCCCATGTATCGGTGACGTGGCAGTCAAAGTGTTAAAGAATGTGTGGCATGCCTCCGAGTGGTCTCAATTTAATTTGTATAAGAATCGGTAATAGGATCTTCAAAATTGACGCTGTGATTAATTTTCAAATGGCCTCTGTGATATTTTCTACGATAAAATGTTGATTCATCAATCTCGACAATCTTCTCTACCCTTCTAATTGCTGTGCAGTAATTCTACAGCCAATCGACCATTATTTGCCCTATAAAATAAGACCATTGCAAAACAGTATTTTTATTTAATTTTTATAATTGTATGTTAGCGTATATGTTAATTTTAGAGCATCTGTAGCTGAGTTAGGTCTGGGTTAGGTTAGGAGCCAAAAGGGAGACAATATTTTGTACTCTTGCTGCACATACTGTCTACTTGACCTACTCCTTCATAGTACGTGCATAAAAAAATGATTTTTATGCATACATGTTTAACAAATTAGCATTTGACTACCTGGCATCTGTAATTTACACTATAGAACATAGTAACGACAGTCATTTGTTTCTACTTGTGAACTTGTCAAAATATACTTAACCCTACTTTTTTACTGCAACTTTACGACAAGTTTAAACAAAAATAACGAATTTCCGTAAATAATGAAATGCATATTAACAATGTACTGAATTAGTCGAATCGAATGACGTATAACTCACCCTAATCGGTGAACGGTCCATTTGCTAGGAATATTCTAAACTGATTAAATAACTATATATAGACAATATTGAAATGTTAAACACAACCACTTTAATTATTTATTAGATATGACATAGTTAAACATGAAATACAGTAACGAACAAACGACACGACTCGACACGAACAACAGACACGGGAATCCCCGCACGATCTTCGACCTTATAGGTGTCGCCACTTTGGTCGTTGCTTATTGCCGCGAAATTATGAACGGCTCAACATATTTTACGTTCACGCGATCTGGTAGAGCTGTGGTACTTAATCTGTGATCCATAGATCCCATCATGCGTCAATATTATAACATTTATTATACTAAAAAAAGAAATTCTATTTAACAACAATATATGTATATATAAAAATACTAATTTTCAGCTTTAAACAAGAAATATTTTTCTGTACACGTTTATAAATAAATTTTCTTGTCGAAACAAACTGATGTAAGATCATTCTTAATTTTCAGCCACAAATCACGGCTTTTCAGACTACCGCGTGAATTTAGGCACACGATTGGCAAAAAATTACGATCATAAAAATAGTCACGATCATTTTACGAAAAATCAAAGTGATTCTAATTTTTTAAAATGGTGGTATGCATTTTTAAAATCATTTTTGAGATCGCGGGCAGGTAAAAAGGTATAAATCGTGCTTGTCGAAGACGCGAGAAACCAAAGAAGAAAGTAACGGAAGCTTAATTGCACCCGTGGGTCCCGTGATCGATAATACCCTCTTGTGTTTCACGATTAAAAAAGGAGACAGAAGCTCGCAGACGTTCGATCCAGTGACGAACGCCGCTTCACAAGACGCGAATGACTTCCGTTCATTTCCGGAACCAATTTCCTGTTACCGATGGTAACTGTCGCCGCCCAAGGAAATTGAATGTCGTCGAAAAAGGATTGTAGAATGTTTAATCGGGAAATACGACGAGTGCATGTATAGCTTTCAACGAGCCATTTTTTTCAAATGTGATAACCAAAGAAAAAATTTTCAAACAATTTTTCCGAATTTATCATTTTGTCGCTTTTTTCAAAAAGCTCCCTTATTACAAATTTTTTATCGAAACAAACAAAGAATAAACGATAGCAAATATATTAATTGAATCGTTGATTAAATAATAATTATTCTGTTAACGAAACAATGTTATCGATAGGTAAATGATCGATAAAGTAAGGATTGCACGGTTCTTCCAAGAACACAAAAATGATAATTTAGATAATAACAGTGAAAATTAAAATATTAATGAAAGATTCGTATTTGTGTATTACACACGTGGTATATCAACAAGCGTACTCGTGCAACAGGCGTACGATAGTGGGTAACAATATACATATACTCGACGACATTACATTCCAGTAAGTATCGGAATTCGAGTCTCCGGCGACTGGATACAATAATAGTTTCGTGTACATATTCCCGATCCCCATGGTTTGTAGATTATTCAATTGCTCGAGACGATACAGTTTTGGGAGTCTAACCTATTTCATCGTGAAACAGTAATTCTACACTTGGACAGTGCAACGAGGTAAAATTGAATAAAAGTATTAGAGGTTACGAAATATTACAAAGGTAATTAAATTAGAACAACTGTATTAAACTTGTGCACAATACATTTCGCATTTAACGGAATTAACTAATACTACATATATCAAAGAAGAGAAAGATAAATTTGGACATTATGCAATTGCAATTTGTGGAATTTGCAATGCAATTGGAACATATTGCAATTTATGTTGCATGGTCGCAAAAAATACTTGTTTAATGCTTACCATTTATAATATTGTGCGATACTTGGGACTATACATGTATGAGTAAATGGAACGGAACTTTGTAATTGTGAGAAACTCCTGACAAATACATTTCCCTGGAGTTTGAAAAGCTGATTACCTTTATCCCGTACCTTTAATGTTTAAACTCGATTCCCATGAGTAAAACATTACTACCAACTTTATTGTAACGTCGTGTTAAAGTATCGATAAATTTTATTTGATTCCGCCACTTAGACCTATCCGTTTGCTTCCAGCTTCGTGCACCGGTGTGCAATTACAGCGGAACGTATCGTATTCTTCGATCAATTTTCATTTTCCTTTATTGCAGTTTCACGAACCCTTTGGGAGGACCACGCGAACCGTTAAAACGCGTAAAATACGCAATAACACGACAAAACAGAATTTTATCGACGCCATACCACTTTTTGAAACAAATTCTAAAAGTAATCCCAACAAATCCCTAGAAATCCCTAGAATAATAAGTGCTGTTATATTAACTACACTCTACCTACAAAAGATAACAAATATTAGTTAAAGAATTAATTTTCAAAGGGGGGAAATATTTAAAAATACTTTCGAATTTCGATCATAATTTGGATAAAGAATTTTTAATATTTTTGGTAAAAAATTTTTTTCTCGAAATTGTAATTGACCCCCGCAATCGAAACTAATTTTTCCAGGACGATTTACAATTTTTTAATTTTGTCGAAAAATTTGTCCACCTTTCTGAATTTTTTTCTCAAAACTGAGTAGGATTTCGAGGGTATGTCTATTGACCAAAAATAATTGTAATGGATCCCCGGAACCGAAAATAATTTTTTTAGAATGATTTGAAATTTTTTAATTTTTTCAAAAAATTTCAAAACTTCTCGAATTTTTTTCTCGAAACTGAGTAGGATTTCGAGAATATATCTATTCATCGAAAATTATTGTAATGGACCCCCGCAACCGAAAATAATTATTTTTAAATGATTTGAAACTTTTCAATTTTGTCAAAAAATTTGTCCACTTTCCTGAATTTTTTTCTCGAAACTGACTAGAATTTCGTGGGTATGTCTATTCACCAAAATTGTTTGTAATTGACGCCCGGAGCCGAAAATATTTTTTTTAGAATGATTTGACATTTTTTAATTTTGTCCAAAAATTTATCCACCTTCTTGAATTTTTTTCTCGAAACTGAGTAGGAATTCGAAGCTATATCTATTCACCAAAAATGTTTGTAATTGACCCCCGACTTCGAAAATAATTTTTCCAGAACGATTAGAAATTTTTCTTTTTCGTTGAAAAATTTAGGCATTTTCACGAATTTTTTCTCGAAAATGCGCAAGATTTCGGGGATATGCCTGTTCACCAAAAATTATTGCAATTAACCCCCGCTACCGAAAATAATTTTTTCAGATCGATTAGAAATTTTTCTTTCTTTTCGAAAAATTTAGGCATTTTCACGAATTTTTTTCTTGAAAATGCGTAGGATTTCAGGGGTATGTGTAATGGCCAAAAATAATTGTAATTGACCCCCGCAGCCGAAAATAATTTTTCCAGAACGATTTGAAATTTTTTAATTTTGTCAAAAAATTGGTCCACCTTCTTGAATTTTTGTCTCGAAACTGAGTAGGAATTCGAAGCTATATCTATTCACCAAAAATGTTTGTAATTGACCCCCGCAGCCGAAAATAATTTTTCCAGAACGATTTGAAATTTTTTAATTTTGTCGAAAAATTGGTCCACCTACTCGAATTTTTTTCTCTAAAATTGCGTAGGATTTGGGGGCTATGCAATTACCAATTGTAAATCAATTACAATATGGATGATCGACACGAGCCGGAAACTCGAAAACGTTCCGTGATTTTCGAGTCCTGCGCATAGTCCCAGAATTCTCTTTTGCTTCCGCCCGCGATGGCGGTTCGACCGTATTACAAAGGGGTACTCTAGTGTCCAAGAATCGTTTGTGCGTTTCAGCAATTTGTGTGGAGCGAATTCTCCGAGGAGTACAGGCCGACCGAGCGCAGGGAGACTTTTTATCCGAACGTGGTGCTCGCCAATCGATTCTACGAGCTGAAGATCACGGATCTACCGACGATCCCGTACTTTCCGGTCAGCTCGCACCTCGAATGGACGGACTTCCGTTATTACGGGCTACGAAGTGCCAGCGCCTACGTGCTCGTGTTCGATCTCAGCAATCAGGACACGTTTCAGGTATGTACACATACAGACCGTCACGATCCAAAGTTACGCGACCGCTGTTTGGTTTACCTTGTAGCCAGTTAGGTTAGGGCCGTCGAATGTCCGAGCAAAGGGACCCGCAAATTGAATAAAACAATGATTCGTTTAATCCACGTCAGAGACTGAAAACTGATACAGAGTGGTAAACAAGCGTACAGCCACAGCACGAAACTCTCCTTACAAACGCTTAAATGCACAGTAAATAACCTTAAAAGTCTTCCTAAATTTACGTCGCGCGACTAGAACGTGCTTCGCCGGTTAATATATTCGCTGTTCATCGGCTTCGCCGCAATATTGTTGACAGAAATTAAATTTGTAATTCCAAACTTCACTTTCGCCTTAAAATTTCATTTTAAAAGATCCGAATACTCGAGCACACCCCCTGGCACTCTCTTTAAAAGGATTTTCCAACCCAATTGCCGTGGGAACACCTCCTTTCGTTAAAGACCCTTCTTTATACTTAGCAGAGGGTCGGAAACTTTCTTTATTCTATCCTTATCTCGGCTCTTTCTTACACCTTCTTTACGCGAGACGAAAAACGTGTACAATTTTTTGTATTTAGAGAAGAAATCAGTATACCACTATTCGGAATATTTCACGTTACAACTCGACGCAACGCGCTGCAGAGTTTCAGATACGATTCAGCGAGGAGTAATTTTTAATAAATATTTAGGGGAAAAAATTTAATGGGCGATTCTAGAGACCAAAATAAGACGAAAGTCAAGAATACCGATTTGTTGATCGAGGCTTCGTTAAAAAGTTATTAACGTTTGAAGTTGCGCCTTCAAACGCGCATGCAGCGTGCGCAGGTTGCCTATCTACAGGCGCAATTTTAAACGTTAATAACTTTTTAACGAAGTCTCCATCAACAAATCGATATTCTTGATTTTCGTCTTATTTTGGCCCCTAGAATCTCCCATTAAAATTTTTCCCTGAACACGAAATATTTTTGGTTATGTCAAAGTTACTTACGACTCGATCCCCGTACGTGTTAAGAGATATAATTTTCTTGGATGACGATATTGAAACAATTTCATTTCTAATTTCACAGTATATTAGGACGTTACGGGAGCAAATCTACGAAGCACGAGACATGAGGGGTGTACCGTTATTAGTGGTCGGGAACAAGCAAGACGAATTGTCGCCGGCGGCTGCTACCGAAACTAGATACAGGGACATCGTCAATCTCGTCCGGAAACACTGGCGGTGCGGCTATGTCGAGTGCAGCGCAAGATTCAACTGCCGTGTCGTACAGGTACGTGCAATATCAACGTTTATTATCAACGACCCTTTAAACGCGCCGCTGCGCATTGCTCGTTGTCTCATTGTCACGCGAAGTGTCCCACTAGAGAATTTTGCTCTTGGCACGTTCACTGGCGTCACTAGTATCGCGAACCGTCACCCCGTGGCGCTATTTTGATCGCCCTACTGGAAAATGGTACGAAGCGCCAATGATGTGTACGTATATTACAGGATTTGGAGAATTGTTTATTTATCGATAACAGAATGTTGGATGTATATATATAATACATAGTATTTATATACAGTGTCTCGTAACACGTACTTCGAAGGTGGATTCAACGTAAGAAAACAGTAACAAAAGCTCGCTTAAATATGTGTCCTATTTGACACACTTTTTAGTCTTAAACTTTCTAACAACGGGCTCGATGCAATTAACGTACTTAAATGTAAATACATTTCATGAACCATTGGTCTTCTTATTTCTATTTTACGTACTCCTTGCAAGAACCGGGGCGATATGTAGTAAAATATGAACATTCAAAAATTACCTATTATAGAAAAAAAAAAGAGAGAAACACATCTTGTCTGCGCCGGATCTACATAAGTTCTTGCAAGACATTGTAAGCTAGATCCTTCGTGGATCGAATGACTCAAAGGGTTAAAAATAAGTTATCCAACCCTGCCTCTATTAACTTATTTTTTTATATTTTTTATTATATCTTCTTGAAAGTATCATCAATGGATTCACGAAATTTTGTCAATGAAAATGAGTTCAAACACAATCTTACTTATACATTAAGTCTAATAACTAAAAAATAATCCGAGTATACTGTTTACATCAGAGTACATACTCAGTACAAATCAGTGACAATAAGTCGCGCAGTTTGCCTGTCGTTCGAATCGACAGATTAAAAAAAACATTCATCAGAAGCGCTTCGATATGGATCGTTAATACTGAAAAGTATTTTGTTAATAAATATATGTAAATATATGAGACAATATTTGAAATAAAATTTCTTTGAACGTTATTGTATATGATCGTGTCCATACTTATTTTATTTTTGACTCGTCTCGATGTTCTTTAATTGAAACTTGTTTATCAACACTTGGCATTTCATTAATAATTTTTTATCTACAATTTTTTCTTTTTCCGTCAGTTTTTTCTTTGAAATAATATCCGATGTATTTAATTTCTGAGTAGATTTGGATTTACTTTTCGTACTCAACATATTTACACTGGGAACAATAAATTGTTCCTCGGAATTCAAATGTTCACCCTTGGAACGCGTCGATGACGTTCCCTCCGCAATTCGAGCATGATCAGCGTGGTTCGAATTTTTTAGATTATCGTCAAACACATTAGTACATAAAATAGGACTTTTCGATCTATTTTCACGTTGCGCTATATCCGTATCTATTAAGTCATTCTCGTCTCTACCATTTTGTTTTACACTATCATTTTTTAAAGACCACCAAGCTATTGTACTGCACGTGCTGCTTACGTCGCTATTGTCATCTAGCGGGGACCGTATAGGTGTGCTTCGTTTCGTACGTGTGCTTCTACCAACAACGAACGAATCTTGTTGAACAGTAGCAACGTGTTCTGTTGTTTTTTTAAGTTTTTGTTCGACGGTTTTTACATTTAACGTATTGCTTTCTGTGGTTTTAGAATTCATCACTGGCGTAATACTAGGTTTCTTAATGAGGTTGATTTCTTTCAAATTATGCAAAACGTGTTCTACGCTTTCATTACTATTTGACAAAATACTGTCGTCATTTTGTGTCGGGGAAGTACAATTTCCTTTCGAAGTTAATTTTGCCTGATCCTTCGTACTTGATTGCTGCGATATTGGTTCTTTATTTTTCAAAGAATCCGACTTCTGTATTGGGGTCTTACTTGCTGTCGCTGATACTTCATTGTGCGTATTTGGAGAACGGCTATCATTATTACTATCAGACTCTGAACAGGTTTCGAATTGGGCTAGCAAATTCTTAGTATTAACACACTGCTTATTTTGCGCATTTAAAGTGTGACGTCTTGATTTGTATTTCGTTTTTTGTTGAAAATACATTCTGTATAATTCTTGTTGCTGTTGGGTCAGTTCTTTTTTGGCTTCGCCAAGAATGCAATTTATAATGAATATTATATTTTCAGCATCTTCTAGCGTCTCTATCTCGTTTTTAACATAGTTCAAACCAAAACGATTCAGTTGGGATTTAAATGTGGCAAAAATGTGTTTACTCTTTTCTATTATTTTAATAATATATAATTTAAAGTTTCGAATAGTATCTAGTTTGTGTCCAGCTTGTTTCCTATATTTTCTACAAATATTTCTTACTACAAAATCAGTCTTGTTTGAATTATGTTCGCTCATCTCACTGTCTGTTACTTTCTTGCTTCTCGAGCTAGAGGGACTATTACGGAACACATTCAACTTTGTATGTAACTTATCATTATTATAATTATTTATTCTGTTAATTTTGGCAGCTCTATTGCCGCTGAATTTCTTGTTTACAGGAGAATTGAAATCATTTATAACAAGTTTTGTTTTTTTCTTTTTTTCTAGTCGATCAAAGTAATCTGATTCGCTACTATCTTCCCTGTAATGAAATGTTTTCCTTTTCCTGAAACAAGACATTTGCGTTGGAGTTTCTTCCTTTACACGCGGCACGTGTATGTCACATTATCAAATATATTATTGCAATACAATACCATACAACATTCTATACAGGACCAAATGAACAATATAAGCGTACATACTCTAAAATATATCTCGATCAAAGAATCTGATCTTGATGCAATGAATATTAATTTATCATTATTAAAATGAATTGTAATTGGTTATAAAAAGAAATATATGCATAAATCGAAAAAACATAAAGTAAATTGATCTTTTGAATTACAGAGTATTTTATATATATTTGCACATTTATGTAGCTTTGAAATTACATCATATTTTAATACAGGAAAACAAAAATTACAAAACAGAAACATTATTAACCACCAAAATTCAGATTCGTTCGATCAGACCGAGAGGTTAGAAACTTACTCTGGAACAGAAGACATGGTAAAACTAGAACAGAGTCGAAACGATCAAACAATTTGAGTGTATCCTTAACTCAGTTTTATGCAAATCAAAATACAAACGATTTACGAACGGAAGAGCACATTCGCCACAAGCACGCAGTTTTTGCTCTCAACACAGACTCGGTACTGAACACCGCTCGAACGTTAAAAATCAAACTCTGTACAATAATATATTTGACATTGCACGGTTAAAAGGAGAAACCAAACAAAATATTTTATTGTGTCGCTAAACAATGCTATCCATAGAGATTCCATTGTCATGCGTACACATTTTGACGATTATGTATCGGAATGCGCAGGTCCGCGATCGAAAACAGGAAACCCACAAAGAACAAACGTAATTATTGATTTATCATCATTCGATCGTAAAAAAGAGAAATTTTATAAGTAGTACAATTTTTTATTTCATCGCTTGCCTTTGTAAGACAAAGTCTATTAAAAAAAATTAAATCTTTTGTGTAGAATAAAATTTTATACCCATTTGCGTTGCTATACAGGGTGTTCGGCCAACCCGGGGAAAAATTTTAATGGAAGATTCTAGGGGCCAAAATAAGACGAAAATCAAGAATAGCAATTTGTTGATGGAGGCTTCGTTAAAAAGTTATTAACGTGTAAAGTTCCGCCTGTAGATAGGCAACCTGCATACGCTGCGTGCGCATTTGAAGGCGCAACTTTAAACGTTAATAACTTTTTAACAGAGCCTCCATGAATAAATTGGTATTCTTGATTTTCGTCTTATTTTGGCCCCTAGAATCTCCCATTAAAATTTTACCTACCTACAAAGTGGAATTACATTCGCGTAATAAAATGTTTTCGTGAACGACAGGTATTTCGAGAATTAATGAAGAGCATCCAAGCAGTCGAAGGCAGACCACCCTCGCCCCCGTCTGCACCCTCACAGCCGCTGCGATCGCACCCCCACGACACCGGCGAAAAGTGTATTTTTCTCTGACATTGAAACCAAAGAATCAGCGTGCTCGACTTCTGCGACCGTATCATCAGAAGAAGCTGCTTCTTTCCTTATCACGATGCAGGGTCGTAGTTATCTTAAGTCGAAGACGAAAGACAAACGTAAACGGGGGGGTGGTTTATTCAAGAGAATCGCGAAAACCCTAATGCGAAAGTTCAACTTCGCCGGGGATCGCAGGGCAAACATTCCTGCTACTCGTTTTATCGAATTGTAATCCGAAGTAAAAATTCACGAATTTTTTTTTTTTTTTTTTTCTTGGTTCATCGTTTAACCGTGTTAAGCACGGTATTGTGATCGTTCAAAATATGGAGGTCTTTCATGAAACGTTCATTTCTTATGAAAATAAATTGTTTTTGTTATCCTTATAGTAACTTCCTTACCGACAGGGTAAAACAAACACCGAAGAAAGGTTAGTTTTGTTCAGAAGTTATAAATCGTTTGCGTGTTGAGAGGGATGCCCCGAACTTTGTCAATTTTCATGGAAGATTCTTCAAAGCTCACGCATTAACAGTATTAGGTGGATAAAGAGCGAATGACAAAGCGAAGACCGAATGTAATTTGCGTATTTAGAAATCCTTGAATCTCGACTGTGAATATTTCGCCAACAAAACTGCTCATCGCGTGACATTAACATTAAAAAAAAAAAGAAAAATAATACAATCGTGTTGTGCAACTACAATTGCTCGTTCGTGTCGAGAGTAACGAAAATGGTTGCGAATACTTATACATGAAATCGACTGCCGAATACCACTGTGTCCATGTACAATTCAGTTCGCAGTTTTACTTTTGTAAGTCGCTCTGTAAATACGACGTGATTTTTATTCTCTGTACAGGGTGACCACACTTTACTCTATAAATAACCTCATCGCGATTTCTATGAACCATTTTCAACTTCTCCATTCTTTTTCTTCTACGTTTGTATAATTTCCTTGATAAATCATAGTGATCCTAACTGATACTAATAATCATTGGCAACATATTCCACGCTTAACTTCGATCCATCATTTATGATCTCTCACGGCAACTATGTTTATGTTGATCAGTTTTACTTTAACGATCTAACCTAAGATACAGTTGTTACCACTGACGTTCGCATTAATATCCCTATCACGATTTCGTTACATGAAAATTAACCATAATATTTACCAAAACTGTTCATAGTACAATTTACAATTTCTTCGTTCGAGTTTTCGATTTTGAAAACTATCAGCAATAAAACTTTGTTTCGAACAACTAGAAATCCACGATCGCAAGACTAGTGGAAAATTTTAAGCGTCAGTTCAATCTCAATACGTTCATGTGCCACGAAATGTACCGTTTAAGTTGTGCCTCAAAAAAAAAAAGAAAAAAAGAAAAAAAAACACCCCCAAGGAATCTGTACAAATAGAACAAAATTCTGCTGCGTTAATCACGTTCCTTTATCTGTGATATGTTTTACTCCATTTTACGTTGTTTCCTGTTCTACTATCGTACTTCAAGTATACGAAGCAATCATAAAATTTTAATTTATCTTCCAGCAATGCATTCGGCCTAATAGTAATAATTATAATAACAATAATAATAACAATAATAATAACAATAAAGTAATTATAATAATAATAATAATAGTAAACAAATAAATGTAACAATAGCGTGTTATTGAGAGTTACCTCAGATCAAGCAATAGTGTATACAATATACATATATTTTACTATACTGTTAAGGAATTAATCACTAGTTTGTAAGCGTAGTTGTTGATATTACGAAGTATTGTATACGTGCACTGCTGACCACCGAAATACAGGTTGACCCATTTAAATAGAAACATCGAAATATCTTCGTTGCTAATTGTTACATGAAAAATTCGTTCAGAACAGAATTACGCATGTTTTTTTTTTTATTTAAAGACATTATTCACTCGATAAAAACAAAAAAGGTATATCAAGTAGGGATTCAGCAAGTGGAACTAATTTGCAACCTAATTGGTTTCATAAAAAGAAACATCGATGATCTTGACATTGGAAAAGAAGAAAAATATTTGGAAGTACGTTGTTTGTCTTTTCGAACAATTTTTTCAACCATCAATAAGCGACGAGGATATTCATGTGTTTCTATATAAATGGTCCACCGTGTATACATGTAAAAACGACCTTATATTTTGAATCTACCGGATATTTGTGGGAAACACGCGATTTTTTGTAAAGCTTGTTTCATGTTTATTTATTACAGTATTACGGCGTAAGTAATAATATAAATTAACCGAACGAAGGCTGTTCTTCCCCGTTGTAAGATACACCGGCATTTGCCGCTAGAAATTAACTCGACGAGCAATTTCGTATAGAAATATATAATGATTTTATTCCGAAATAACTGAAAATATTTCTACTGGTAAAGAGAATTTCATTCCAGCTCTCTATTTTAATATTATGTGTACTCTATGTTTTAAAATACTACAACTCTTTGTCAGAAAGCGTAATGATCGCAGATCGCCTTACAACCTCACCGAATTTAGACAATTTTCACGCAGCTGAATTCTAATATTAACTAAATAATGCTTAATTGTTTGTATTGAATATACATTTGTGATCTTATTCGTATACGTATTCTGTGTACCTGAAAATCTTTAAATACTGTAATTTTGAAACTTAAGAACGTGATAACCTATAAGTGCCCCATCGTTAATTTTATGGCGGTAAGAACGTAATCAAATGTCAAGGCGTTCTTTGTAATAAAAAGCAGAGAACAACCTAAACAATGCTTACTGTGCCCTGTGATATTTTCTTAAATTAACGTCTTTCAATTAAATTGTTAACGCTGTTGGCCCCTTCAAATGAAACAGGAGAACTCAAATTCGTTAAATCAAAAGCTGCAAACTTGTCGTCCCAATATGTATGGTCGGTAGTGTACATGTACATACAGGTCTATAAAATGTGTGTTACCGTTGTTATTGTTTATACGTATTTTAAGAGAATCGCAATATTACCGGCTAAACTATTTCATCTATGGTTGGACCAAATTCAGTTGATCTTCAAGGCCACGCTACCTTCACAATATGCTAGTTTTCTACCCTACATAGCTTGCAAGAATATAATAAAAATACTTCAATAGAAACTTCAGCTGCATGAAGAAACTTCACTTTTTGAAAGTAAAAAGAAACAAGGTTCCAATCTCCAAGGATATAGAAGTTCTTCCGACTAGAATTTTTACTTTACATATTTTGTACATCCAAGAACTGTGTATATGTTTTGAATAATAGTTCTATAATGTCCTTTTCATCTCTGATACTTTATATAATAATTATTAAAAGTATTCATGTATATCTTGTACAAGAGCAATGTTCAAACCCGCGTAAGTTTAGCCATCTATAGTGATTCAGTTACACCTTGCGTAATCAATATTTAGAAGGCTTAGAACAAGTTCTTACATCTGTTTGAAATGTGTTTTTGGAGAGTCTTTGACAAAGATTGTTAAATAACGTTTGCCTTGAGATGCTGACAGAATTTGGTCCGATTGTACTTTGACACAGACAAGGCCAAACAATCATTGAACGATTGTCCGACAATTTTTTACTTTCGACCGATTTAACGCAATAAATTGATCGTTAATTTCTCGATTAAACTTGTTGTCCATTATATGTATAGACGATGGAAAATATACATAAATGTTGAATATATCGTGATCGCGATAGCGCGATTGTATGTTACACGGCATACAAACATGTGTTCGTTGGGAATCTTTGTACCGAAATACATAGAGTGTAGGCATTGTAACTTTCGGCGCGATTTGTACAGCCATCGAGTGTCGAGCAAGCGTCGTTTTACATACAAAATACCATTAATTATTTTGTATGCAGGAGTAACGCAATAATAAAAAAAAACGAACCGAAGAATTCATTGTTCAACAGGCTTTAACCCCGTTCCTTCTACCTTTGCGTTTGAATTGTACAATTTTTGTAGTAATAAAGCTAAAGAAAACTTTTCAAAGCAATGCCTTGTAAAATTAGTACCATGTGTGTATCGATCGAGTATACAGGGTGTTCAGCCACCCTTGGGAAAAATTGTAATAGGGGATTCTAGACTCAGTTTCGAGAAAAAAATTCGAGGTTTGAAATTTTTCGAAAAAATTAAAAAATTTCAAATCATTCTAAAAAAATTATTTTCGGTTCCGGGGGTCAATTACAATAAGTTTCGGTTAATAGACATACCTTCGAAATCCTACTCAGTTTCGAGAAAAAAATTCGACAAGGTTTGAAATTTTTCGAAAAAATTAAAAAATTTCAAATCATTCTAAAAAAATTATTTTCGGTTCCGGGGGTCAATTACAATAAGTTTCGGTGAATAGACATACCTTCGAAATCCTACTCAGTTTCGAGAAAAAAATTCGAGAAGGTTTGAAATTTTTCGAAAACATTAAAAAATTTCAAATCATTCTAAAAAAATTATTTTCGATTGCGGGGGTCAATTACAATAAGTTTCGGTGAATAGACATACCTTCGAAATCCTACCCACTTTCTAGAAAAAAATTCGAGAGGGTTTGAAATTTTTCGACAAAATTAAAAAATTTCAAATCTTTCTAAAAAAATTATTTTTAGTTACAGGGGTCAATTACAAGCAATTTTGGTGAATAGACCTACCCCCGAAATCCTACCCACTTTCTAGAAAAAAAATCGAGAAGGTTTGAAATTTTTCGAAAAAATTAAAAAACTTCAAATCATTCTAAAAAAATTATTTTAGATTGCGGGGGTCAATTACAAGCAATTTTGGTGAATAGACCTACCCCCGAAATCCTGCCCACTTTCTAGAAAAAAAATCGAGAAGGTTTGAAATTTTTCGAAAAAATTAAAAAACTTCAAATCATTCTAAAAAAATTATTTTAGATTGCGGGGGTCAATTACAAGCAATTTTGGTGAATAGACCTACCCCCGAAATCCTGCCCACTTTCTAGAAAAAAAATCGAGAAGGTTTGAAATTTTTCGAGAAAATTAAAAAATTTCAAATCATTCTAAAAAAATTATTTTCGGTTCCGGGGGTCAATTACAATAAGTTTCGGTGAATAGACATACCTTCGAAATCCTACTCAGTTTCGAGAAAAAAATTCGAGAAGGTTTGAAATTTTTCGAAAACATTAAAAAATTTCAAATCATTCTAAAAAAATTATTTTCGATTGCGGGGGTCAATTACAAGCAATTTTGGTGAATAGACCTACCCCCGAAATCCTACCCACTTTCTAGAAAAAAAATCGAGAAGGTTTGAAATTTTTCGAAAAAATTAAAAAATTTCAAATCATTCTAAAAAAATTATTTTTAGTTACAGGGGTCAATTATAATAATTTTCGGTGAATAGACCTACCCCCGAAATCCTACCCTCTTTCTAGAAAAAAATTCGAGAGGGTTTGAAATTTTTCGACAAAATTAAAAAATTTCAAATCTTTCTAAAAAAATTATTTTTAGTTACAGGGGTCAATTACAATAATTTTCGGTGAATAGACCTACCCCCGAAATCCGACCCACTTTCTAGAAAAAAATTCAGTACGAGCAGAACTTTAAACGATACTAATTTTTTAACGAAACCTCCATCAACAAATTAGTATTCTTGATTTTCATGTTATTTTGGCCTCTAGAATCTGCCTTTAAAATTTTTCCCAGGGTTAGCTGTACACCCTGTATAATTTCTCGACTCAATTTTAAACGATCCTAACCTGTACAAAAGACAAAGAAGACAAATGTCCCTATCAGCAACATCGACTCTATTCTACATCGTTTGTTTTCATATTCCACTAAATATGACAAATATTTTATTATCTTATTCATTGGTCAATTTATTATAACTATGATATTATGAATGATAACGATAAATCGAAAATCAAAAGAAACAAAATAGCATCTTTGCCTAGACATGTAAAAAGCACTCATCATGAATTGATCTTTTCTGCCTTATCTCGGAGCAGAGCAATGTCTAAATTTTACAGTTTATTTCGCACGATGCTCAAGTAAAATAAAAAGAAACAATAATAAGAACACAGCATGGTGTAACGATCTTTCGTTGCTCGAATCTTAAAGACTCACCTTTGAAGGCACAGACGAGAAACTTTGGAAAAATGTTTCGGGTTTGGAGAGAAATTCAATGCACGAATCTACAGTCAGCGATTTTACGAAGTATCAAGAAAATCCACAATGGCGACAGTAGTTATGGAGGACAACGACACGTATTGACGGTTGGAATCGATTTACCGATGTACGAGGTTACTCGCAGCCAATTTGCTTTTCGAAATTATAATCGTAATCGATAAATGCAGTGAACGAATCGAGGGTTCATAATTTCAACTAGTATTTCTCAAGCTTCGTATTTAGGCATCTCAGTATTGAACGCTCAAGGTTTTTCTCTAATTAATTAGGAAATTGTTTAAAAGATAAAATCAGAAGCGTAATAATAAAATGCAAAATGTATCATCGTCATTAAATTACAACTTAATATGGTATTCTACTGTAAACCTTTAAAAAGAAATAAAAGTTTCAATAAAATTTTTACCTAAATAACTCTGTACAAGTCACAGTTTGAGAAACACTGATCGAAGCAATCGATCACTGTTATTAACCTAGCGATGTTCAACACGACAAGCAACCTTTTTATGAATATTTTTGAAGGATTATAAATCGAAAGACAATAAGGAAATATTTCTTTTTTTATTTAAATTGTAACGAGCTATCTATGAATTGTGTATAAAATCAATTCCTCTTGGTCTCAATTATCTCTGTGTAAATGCTTCATTTTAAAAGAAAAAATTTTTGCAAAACTATTTACGAATGAAATGTTAAGGTGAGTACAACAAGAGGTACGCCAAGTACAAGTACAAACTTGAAGGAAGCCCTGTGCGAAAAGATTCCGTTGCACTATGACCTGCTGAGGAATTTTCGTCGCCAACATGGACCCTTCGTGCTCAGTCAAATCACCGTCGAAAACATATACCAAGGGTTGAACGGTGTGAACACTATAGTCAGAGAAACGTCCGAGACTGATCCAAAATATGGGGCAAGTATTAATTCTGCAAATCAAATTTTAATAAAAGATTCTGGAGGCCAAAATAAGACGAAAATCAAGAATACCAATTTCTCGATCGAGGTTTCGTTAAAAAGTTATTAACGTTTGAAGTTCCGTCTGTAGAACGCGACAGTGGTTCTTACTCAGCACGAGTAACTCTGCTTACTGACGTATCGACAGCGTTACAGTTTTCTGAGTGGGAATCACTACGACTGACCCGCCACCTGTTATCAATCGCACGCAGCTGTTCGCAGATTGTCGTAGAAACAGGCGGAACTTTAAACGTTAATAACTTCTTAACGAAGCCTCGATCCACAAATTGGTACTCTTGATTTTCGTCTTATTTTTGCCCCAAGAATCTCCCATTAAAATTTTTTCCTCAAGATGGCCGAACACCCTGTAAAATATTTATTTTAGAAATGATTTGTTTTCGAAAATATTGGTTTGTAAACGTTTCGTTTGTTCTTTTTAACCAGATCAGGTACAGGGGACTAACAATACCGGAAGTTATTACTTTATTGCCTCGCCAAGGGAAATCACCGAGCGCGGAAGCTGTATTTTGGTTGCTATTAACCGGCGACGTTCCGACTCAAGAACAAACGGCATCGTTGATCGCCGATTGGACGATACGACGACAGAAAAGGAAAGATTGGTGGTCGGGACCGGACGGAGGAATCGTCGGTTCCATTCTTCAAACTCTTCCCAAGACAACTACGCCATTGGGTAAACTGTCAGTGGCTCTCACTGTCTTCGATTCTGGCAAGCATATGAAAGATGCACTGAAAAATCGTGTCTCCAGTCATGCTCATTGGGAAGTGAGTTGAAATATATTACAAATTCAAAATTACACCAACTTACTTAAATTTTGGAAACTTTGCCAAATGTTTAAATATATTAGGTCTGCCAGAAAGTTACAGGAATATATCTTAAAATTATTTACTTTTCTCCATCAAAACCGGTCAGAACTTTCTGGAAGACTTAATATCTTTATTCAAACTATGTACGAATAAGTATTTTCGAAGCCATTGTATTTGCTTGAATTATAAATGAAATCTCTTCGCTAATTGTAAAATCTATTGCTTTTGTTTCAAGTATACATACGAGGATAGTATGGAACTGCTTGCCACGTTACCAGCGATAGTTGGTCTGGTGGCGAAAACTGAAGGACTTAAAAATGTGAAAGAAGATGGCGATTGGGTGCAGTTTCTGCTGGAATGTTTATGCAACGCATCTCAGATATCGGAGAATCGTAAGGAATCTATGCTGGATTTTCTTCGATTATACGTCACTTTGAATGCGTGAGCTGTTCAGAATTTTCTCGTTTTACATGAATCACTATTATATAGGTAATTTCTTAAATTTGATTTTCTCAGTGACGAGGACGGGGGTATCCCTGCTGTTCACGTTACGGAAATACTCGGAGCGTCTCAATTGGACGTAAACCAAGCTTTAGCTGCGGGAGTTCTGGCATACGCCGATGAACCAAAAAGCGGTACATTGGCACAAGTAAATTAAACGATTCTAACTAATTTCGATTAACAGCAAACAACGCGTGTTATTTATAAATAAAACCCGATGAATTCATCCATTCCTAATTTACTTTCCTACGAATAATGTAACAATCGAGGTATCGATGAGTTATTTTATTTTCTAATGACATAGTACATGGAGTTCCAAACGAAAATACAAAGTCTCCTTGGTCGTGAATCTAAAGAAGAACATTTAACGAATTATGTGACTCTAATCGCAAAGGATAAATTGATCGGCTTCAAGGAAACGGATGTTTGCGATCCGCGATACACAGCGTTAATAAATTATGTCAACGAAAATATGCCAAATGATTTCGATACAAAGGTATAGAAACACGATCTTCTTAAGTATGCATAATTCAATGGAATTTGATACGCAGTATGTCCGTTTTAATTCAGATTATTGAAAATTAAAAAATATTCTCTTTACGCAAATAATGATATAAAAAATTGAAACATTCCTAGCAAAGTTATTCGATTCGCCTAATTCAGTACATTATTAATATGCATTTCACTGTTTGCGGAAATTCGTTATTTTTTTATAAGCTGGTTGTAGAGTTACAGTAAAAAAGTAAGGTTAGGTATATTTTTCGACAGGTTCACAGGTAGAAACAAGTGACTATCTATGTTCATGTTACAAATTATGAATGACTGATCTAATTTGATGATGCTAGATTGTCAAATGGGAATTTGTAGAACATGTATGCATAAAAATCATTTTTTTACGCATAGATTTCGTATGAGTTGGTTAGGTAGACAGTATGTGCAGCAACAACTAAAAAATTCCTTCCCATGTAACCCCGACCTACTCAGACAGTACTTACAGGTAGACAGTAAAAATCCCTCTCCGCCCATATAACCCAGACCTACTCAAATAGTACTTACAGCTAGACAGTACATGCAGCAACAGTAAAAAATGTTGCCACCCCCCTCTGACAGTGTTTACAGGTAGACAATATAATAAATTACTATTCTATACAGTGCATTGGCACGATCTGTCAATCCAACTAAACGTAACAGACATAATATGTATAAAGATTAATACTTTTTAGGCTTTCGCGGCCATAGTGATTACTAATAGAATTAGCTTCCGGGTTGGAGCCGCGTTCAGAAGACGAGAGAGTCCGACGTTTCGCCAGCATTGCAGCTAGCTTCATCAGGGAATCAAATAAGAAGTATCAGAGATTATTTGATTCCCTGATGAAGCTAGCTGCAATGCTGGCGAAACGTCGGACTCTCTCGTCTTCTGAACGCGGCTCCAACCCGGAAGCCAATTCTAGTAGTAATGTATAAAGATATTTGCAAAGCAAAGAACATGGTTCTTCAAAAACAAACTCAGCTCCAGATGTCTTAAAATTAACATATATGCTAACATACAGCAATTGGAAGGGTAGAGAAGATTGTCGAGATTGATGAATCAACATTTTGTCATAAAAAATATCACAGAGGCCATTTAAAAATTAATCACAGCGTCAATTTTGAAGATCCCATTACCGATGCTTGCACAAATTAAATTGAGACCACTTGGAGGCATATCACACATTCTTTAATCTTTTTTATAACATATAACACTATCAATATTTTGTATTTTCAAGGTAACTTCATTGGATACCCGAGCCGTTATGTATTTAGTAAATGGTGATTTATTCAATGAAATATCAGCAGAAATAGCAGAAATTTCGTTCTATACATGTTTAACAAATTAACATTTGACTACCTGGCATTTTGAACACACTAACGACAATCACTTGTTGCCACCTGTGAACCTGTTAAGATATACTTAACCTTACTTTTCTATTGCAACTTTCCGACAAGTTTAAACAAAAATAACGAATTTCCGCAAATAATGAAATGCATATTAATAATGTACTGAATTAGACGAATCGAATGACGTATAACTCACCCTGATCGGTGAATGGTCCGTTAGCTAGGAATGTACCAAAAAATTCAACTCAATCACTATATTTTCCATTTTAAATCGAACAACTTATTTGGTAATAATAATAATTATTGGAAGAAACTATCATGTACAATACTGCATACTAAGTGGGGTAATTGTAGAAACAAAATATTCTGTGTATTTTATCTACCATTTTCATAGTTGTCCCAAGCTATCGCACGAATACTCACTACGACGATGAAGACTGCAAAAGGAAAGACCATTTATCCTGAACAAAATACAATCGCGGCGCCAGTATTTCAGGTATATCAACGATAACGTTTAATTAACCTCTTCACGCCCTTAGCCACATATGTGGACGTTTAATTTATTTTTTTATAATTATAATTACTGTCAATAATAGACAACAAAAAAAATCGTCCCTGAAGAGGTTAATCTGCAGTTGATACTAATATAATTATTACTTATCGAAATTCTACGACTCTAAATAGAAACAAATTTTCGAAGGGTTGAAATGATATCAACGCAATTCGAAATCAGAAAGCTTCGGACGGAAATATTTTATCTGTCGCTAAAAAAATCGAAAATGGACTGATCCACGATCTTAACCCTATATTATGCAATTAATTTCATTGTTTATTGTACATTCGTTATTTAAACGACCCATATTTCCCATTTATTCAAGTCCCACGGATTGAAAAACATGACGTTCAATCAAGTATTATTATGCATGTCGCGGGCACTGGGTGCAGTTGCATCGATCATTTGGACAAAAGCTGTTAATGCACCGGTCGAGCGTCCAGCATCGAAATGCACTTACACTTACTTGGATTCTATTCAAGGGACTCGAAGGAAACACAAACGCGGGGAACACGCGAAACATTCTCGAAAATAACTATCATTGTTTTACAATCATATCAAGTATCGTGTTTCTTATCGTATTCTCTCGTACGTTCCGCGTTCCTCTTCATGCGTTTACTCGCGCGATATAATACTTGCTCTGCTCGATTATTGTACATCTCGCGTATAAAAGCCGTCAATGGAACAAGATAAAATAAAAATTTTATACAAATAAAAGAGCATTTATGATTTTTCAAATGATTCTGCCTTCTTTCTCGACTCCCCAATACTCTACGAGCTCACGTATACAGGGTGCTCGACCACCCACAGGGAAAAACTTTAATGGGGGATTCTAGGGGCCAAAATAAGACGAAAATCAAGAATACCAATTTGTCGATGAAGCTTGATCGCCCACGTCGAAAAGCATACAATTCCATTGTTCACTGTAACACGCTGGTCCGTTTGAATTTCGCTCTTAATTAAAATGTATGTAGTTACATGACTCCGTGCTCGACGGTAAGTGATCGGGTTTCAATTAATTCCCGTTGTGGCGCTATGTGCGTTAAACCTACGTTCATGTGATAGCGTAACAACATATTGATTTGAGTATAACGGATTGCAATTGTAAGTACAGAATGCCGCGTAATGTACAAGTAGACGAGATTATAAACATTCCACAGAATTCAACAGTGTCACACATAACGTGTGAAAATAATGTTAGGCAATCTACAGGATTACTGACACATTCGTCTTCTATACCCTGGTCAACATCATCTATTAGTATAAGGGATTTCAATTTTAATGGTAGAACTGTAGAAGACCAGGAGGAGATCATAGAGGAGACCAGGCCTTTTATGGAATGTGTACATGCTGTAAGTGCAATTTCACCATGAGTTTCATAAATCATTGTATCAATATAATTGATAATAATGCATTTCTTGTTTTTATTTACAGCAACCTAACATTTCGTTAAACTCCTTGTTAAATAATCAAAGAATTCAAAGTTCATCGAGTGCCGTAACACCTCCATCTAATAATCATATAATTAATGTCGAAGATCAATCAAGTGGTTCGCATTCGCATGATGTTTCGAATCATGACAGTCATCATCACCAGACAACTGCAACGGACAATTTTTTAAATAATATTCGAGAGGCTGCAAACGAGGTTGTAAGCGAAAGCCAGAACAATAATAGTAATATTGTTATTAATCATAATAACAACAACAATAATAATAATAATAGTACAGGAGGGAATCTCATGGAGGCATTACAGTTGATACGCGAAATACGCGCATTACTCGTAGCGAACAAACGCTATATCATTTTTATCACTATTCTTCTTATTAAAGGCATTTACGATTATAGAGCCCGTACACTGAACATTATGATATTATTTGTTACATTCTATTACGCTAACTGCGTTGTGAAGCGTGAAATTGGAAAACGACATAATAAAAATTTGATGACACTTTTATTTATTACATGTTGTATACTTGGATCCACGTTTCTTATTAATTTTGAGTACGACACACAAATATTTTCGACGTACACGCAGCCTCTCACAGTCTGGGAATTGCTGTGGTCAATTTTGATAACAGACTTTATTTTAAAACTGTACACTATTATTTGTAAAATTTTTTTAACGTGTTTACCTGCGAAATTATTGCCGTTACGAACAAGGGTAAGTTATAACATGCAATTGTTTTGTTAGCATTGATCAAATAGAGGCTGAAAGAGAATTTTACTTCAGGGGAAATATTATCTCACGGTAGAAGCGACATCTCAACTTTATCGATGCAGCGCAACTATTCAACCATGGTTGTATTATTTCTTTGACGCGTATCAAGGACCCGAAAAAATTCTAGGAGTATTTCTCTCTTTAGTATACACAATGGACAAAGCATATTGTTTATTATGTCATGCAAAGCTTTTTCAATATGCTATTTGGAAATTATTTAAGAATGTAGTACGTTCCTTTCTTTTAATGGTAAATTGTACGTCTTTGCAAACAGATATTATTTTATAATCTTACAGAATATCGGCGAATCGCCATCAAAAGAGGAGTTGATAGCATCTGGTAATAATTGTGCAATTTGTCACGAGCGGTATTCGGTGCCAGTGCGTCTACATTGCAAACATATTTTCTGCGAAACGTGCGTTTTAACATGGTTAGAAAAAAAACGTTCGTGCCCGGTGTGCCGTGCTGACATCACGGAAAATCCTACTTATCGCGACGGACATACGACTACCTTTATTCAATTATATTGACTGCCATGTAATATACATTAATATTCACAGTATGAAAGAGATATGATTGTATAAAATTGGCTTAAACTCTAAACTGTTTTCGTTGCTGATTATTTGGGGTGTACGAGAACCCGAAAGTTTCGAGATCCCCGAAAATTCCGAGAACCCGATGAACAGCGTACACAATGCCCAAGTAATAAGCACGCGGTTACACGTTTGTTTACATCAGGTCACGTGATTGTTAGAATCCGTGTTTCCAATAACTTCACGAAAACTGGCACAAGAAATTGAAAGAATGTTGTCCATCGCAAGAATTCTTTTCAAGAGTCTAAAAAATTTTCAGGAACTCGACCTCATCCGATTCGCCCCAACCATCGGGTTTCCGATGTTTTCGGGTTCTAGTACACCCCTACTGATTATATTTCAACATTTGGTCATCAACACTGGATGAAGTGTTATGTGCAAGTAATATAATTAAAATCACACGGTAGACAGATTTCATTAATGTACAACATAAGTATTTTCTCTGAGATATTATAAAACATATTGTCATACAGGACTTTAACACTAACAATAAAGTAATTATTATGTAAGGGTATTACTTTTAGTATACATAGAAAAATAGTTCATAAAACATTGGTTTTTAAGCGTGCCTGGAAATAATCTCCATCTCCTTTAGTCGCTTGTTTATTTATTTCTTTATGACGTTCCCTACTCACTATTTCTTCTAAGACCTCCCCGTCGCCTTTAATTAACCTGCAAAAACATGAAATCAATAATTTTCATTCTATTACGATTCAATTCGAATAAAGCTATATCTTTTATGAAGATTACCTGTATCTTCCAGTTTCCTCGTCGTAAACTCTGCGTACTATGCTTTGTTTCTTTTCCCATTCTTCTTTCGTCATTGGCGCCATTGCTTTAGATTTTTCTGATATATCCTGTACAACGTCTTTAGACACACTTTCTTTGGACTTGTCAGTATTGCGCGACTTCTTCTTAGAAGATGATTTCTTTAGCTTTTTCTTCAACTTTTTCTTCATTCTTTTCTTCTTTCTGCGTTTTTTCATAGCTTTCTTCAACTTCTTAGCTTTCCTTTTAGCTTTCTTACGTTTTCTTTCATCTTCTGATGTATTGGTACTGCTACTACTGCAACTACTGCTGGTGCTGCTACTACTGGAACTACTGCTACTACTTTCACTACTGGTACTGCTAACACTCGAGGAACTTGAAGCAGACAAGGACCTTTTTCTTTTTGACTTTTTACGAGCGGGATGATCAGTCTTTTCCTGCGTGTCGTCTTCTTTCTTCTTTTCCTTTCCTTTCAGATAAGTATCATCCGCATCGCCTTTCTTAGATTCCATTTTGTCGCTATTCGAATGTTTTGAATGCCTTTCTTTCGAATCGCTTTCTCTCGAATGTTCACTGGAATCTTTAATATCTCTTTGACAATCGTGATTCTGATTGCTCCTACTCCTTGATCTATCGTAAGGTGGCCTTCTACTGTTATGATTTGAAAATCTACTGCCTCTCCTGTCGTTGTTGTACCTATTATACTGTGAATTGTTATGCATTCTATTTCTATCATAAAATCCAGAGTTTTTGTATGGCCGATAACCAAAATTACGTTTCCGGTTATCCATGAATCCGCTACGCCCTTTATAATATCCTCTACCTTCCCTCGCATTCATTCTGTACGATCTGAATCCATTTTCGTACCTCTTGTCCCATTTGTCGTTTCTTTTGTCTCTGTCATTTTGGTGCTTAGCTTCGTAACTGGACATGCTAGACGAACTTGAACTGCTCGAGCTGCTTCTATGCTTTGATTTCTTTCTCTTGTCTTTACTGCACGTGTTTCGTCTTTTTTTCTTCAGATCGGAATTGTCGCTTTGCGAAGACACCGATTGTCTCCTGTCCCTTTCCTCCTTAGTTTTGGAGCATTGCTCCGATCGGAAATCACTTTTCTCTCTATTACTCATTTTAATCTCTTATTGATTTCTTACGATGCATAAATCTACCTTAGATTAAAATTTTATGTCTTTTATTGTATATTTACCGCTCTATTGCATCGACGATTAACCTTCTACATCGTAACCGAAGGTTTCTCACTGGAAAATATACTCGAACGGAATGATCGATAAGAGTCACATATAAACGAATGCGTTAACGATTAATTAACGCAAAATAACTCGTATATATTTCCAAACTATCAACATTTTGAAACATTCCGCTAACACGTAATCGCAACTAACCTTGATCTAGCAAATTACAACTGTCTTCTTCATCGATTTCTATTTCAAAAATTTGTCGAAACTTAAGGCAAACTTCCATGATAAAGCGTCGTGCGAGGGAGGACTTAGGGTTTTTTATTGCTACTCTTTCAGATATTGGCAACGACCAATTACAAACACGCTTCGCGATGCAAATATTTATTAAAACGTTACATATTAATTTTCCAATGCTTTAATAATTTTTTTCCTTATCAATTTATTTTTTAAAAGACCAAATTAACATTTTACAAAATCAAATACTGCAAACAATTGTTTGAAAAAAGAACGCTCTTCGATTCGTGATGATTTGATTTCGTGTTGAATTTTTGTAGGAAATATATCTGTCTCTTGTACAATTAATAAATATTTGTTTTACTCAATTGTTTTTATAATTTTTGGTTAAGGTCGAAATTTCTTAAAACATGTTTGCCATGTCAATATAAAGACATTTTTTAATTATTCCTCACATCTTTAAATTGATTCGTATCATTTATATGCACTATCTAAGAAAAAAGAATGAAACGTTTAGGTGATAGATGTTCTTGCAAAGATAAAGTAAGCAACTAACCTATAATTAAAGAACTTTTACCAAGCAACACAAAGTACAGAAATATTTCTTTTATGCCACCTATAATTCAATGATTTTTCTAGAGATGAATACTAAAATTCCATCAAAAATATATTAGATATATGTTAGTCATTACTTGCAAATGTTACACTTGTTAAGGTTATTATGTGCCACAGTATTCTTAATCAGTAACGATTACAAGATTAGAATTTATTGTTATAAACTATATTTATACTTGCCTTTTTGTCTAAATTATTGAAATATAATGTGATAAACAGTTTGTTTATTTCATAGAAATAATAAATACGATGACCAAAGATCAAGAGAAATAAGTTGATTATCGTATAACTTTTCAACATTAACTTTGAACTTTGTTTATTATATTATAATGGGAATCATACTATTTAAAGTTTTGCAATAGTCAGTATCGTTTACTTAAGAATTATGGGATCTGAATACTGAATGACCGCTGTCCAAAATTAAATATAACTCGACCGAGTGCCAACGCGGTTATTAACCTCAACTTTACTCACAGTTTTGAGACTACACACTTTCCGATCACTGTTCCTTCGTTCAATTAAAGTTTTTGTGAATTCAATTCAATTCAAAGTTTCGAAATTTTGAGAGTCCCAACCCCTACTTTCTAGACATCATTTTTCTTACTCAAAAAACAGTAAGTCACCACTACCGCGATTAGACAGTTAAAAATTGTGGAAATTGAAATATTACGCAAGCTTAATCTGCTTCTACTTCAACGTTGAATAACCTTACCTCTATTTATAAACATTAATGGAATTTTTTAAATGCGTACGATACGACAACGATGAGCTTAATTGTCAATAATCTGAACAAGAGTATCTCGATAAAGCTTATTTTAAACACGAGCATAAATCATCAATATTTGCTTCGTTGAATTGATATATCGTGAGTTTACGTGTGGAGCTATAACGGATTAAAATCAATTGGTTGCTCAACGCCACTTTCTCCAATGTAAATCAAGTCAAATATGTATCCTACTTTTTCTTCGTGCTAGCTTTCGTCTCTGCAAGATTGAGAGAGTACGTGCAGAGACTATAGAGGGTGTTTGGCCATCTTGGGGGAAAAATTTTAATGGGAGATTCTAGAGGCCAAAATAAGACGAAAATCAAGAATAGCAATTTGTTGATGGAGGCTTCGTTAAAAAGTTATTAACGTTTGAAGTTCCACTATCGCGCGCAGCTGTTCGCCGATCGCCGTTCTACAGGCGGAGCTATAAACGTTAATAACTTCTTAACGAAGCCTCCATCAACAAATTGGTACTCTTGATTTTCGTCTTATTTTAGCCTCTAGAATTCCTCATTAAAATTTTTCCCAGGAGTAATATTGTTAAGTGGTATAGCATCGATATCAATGTTAATTTTGGCAATTTTTAGATATTATCGCCGGTAACAAAATATGCAGAGTTGGATCCTGCCCTTTGTTCCGAGTTGCGAAAAATCGTGGACACCATACTTGCGCCTGGAAAGGGGTTGCTGGCTTGCGACGAGTCCAGTCCGAGTTTGGACAAACGGTTCGAGGAGTTGGAAATCGAAAATACCGAAGATAAACGACGCGATTATAGACAGATGTTGCTCACCGCTGATCAGGTCATTATGTTGCACTTTGAACCGAACTTTTTTCGAAAAAAACGTTCCATCGATTACTTTCGATCGAACATTTTTTTTGATGGATATAAAGTAAACAATTTTTTTACGATTAATTTTTCTTTAAAGTTGGTACTCAACCTGCCTTTAAAGTAAAAAGAAAATTGAAAAGTTTGCGACGTTTGAAAGAAAAATTAACTTTTTTCTTTTAAATCTGATCCCCGCGTGTTTGCACGTTCTTGTCGCAGTCCCAACTGTCGAAATACATAAGCGGTGTTATTCTGCATCACGAGACAGTTTATCAAAAAACTACGGCCGGCGTCGACTTCGTCCAATTGCTTCAAGAAAGGAATGTCTTACCCGGCATCAAGGTCGACGGAGGTTTGGTCGATCTCTTCGGCGCGAAGAACGAAAAGACCACGGAGGGCCTGGACAATTTGCAAGAGAGATGCATACAGTACAAGCGGTGCGGCTGTCACTTCACAAAATGGAGATGCACGTACAGGATTTCAGAGACCACGCCAAGCCAGTTGGCCATGGCTACGAACGCGAACGTCCTGGCAAGGTTCGACTTACGAAGAATATTTTTAGACTCTCGAATTGTGATCGAAATGACCCTGAAAAAACCCTACACCATTATTATATAAACAAAGACCAATTTTTGTTACATTATGACGGAGAAGGAAGAATTTTTTTAATCTATTCTTAATTCTAGTTCAATGTTTTTTATTTCAATTTTTATAGTTGCCTTATGTACGATTTTCGTGTTTGTGCGATCATAGTAATTATTTATTTTTCATTCTGAATATGTTTAAATAAAACCCTGGGAAAAATTTTAACGGGAGATTCTGGAGGCCAAAATAAGACGAAAATCAAGAATACCAATTTGTTGATGGAGGCTTCGTTAAAAAGTTATTAACAATTAAATTGAAAAGTTTCAAATCGTTCTGGAAAAATTATTTTCGGTTGCGGGAGTCAATTACAATCATTTTTGGTCATTACACATACCCCCGAAATCCTACCCACTTTCTAGAAAAAAATTCGAGAAGATGTGAAATTTTTTGACGGAAAAAAAGAATTTCAAATCGTTCTGGAAAAATTATTTTCTGTTGCGGGGGTCAATTACAATCATTTTTGGTGAATAGACACACCCCCGAAATCCTGTGGATTTTCGAGAAAAAAATTCGGTACCGGCGGAACTTTAAACGTTAATAACTTTTTAACAAAGCCTCCACCAACAAATTGGTATTCTTGATTTTCGTCTTATTTTAGCCTCTAGAATCCCTCATTAAAATTTTCCCCAGGGTTAGCCGGACACCCTGAATAATCATTACCAAAAAGTATACTCGAGAAATGTAATTGACGTAATTAAAGATTCGACGAGCATTTCTCTATGTGTACTTTGAGCAGTCATCATTAATGGTAAGCTGAATCATTGTAAAGAGGAAAGCAAAGGATTGCATCATGCAGGTGACAAGCGCGAGAACCAAGAGCTTTTAGATGACTCGATATTATGAATGACATACAATTGTTATTAACTTTATTAATCACTATGACTTACTATTAAATGTATCTGTACTCTCGATTCAATGTATGACCTAACCTAACCTTCAGTGAATATTACAGTTACTTTTTTTATGGGGTTTCTAATCGGTTACATTGTGCAATAGAGAATTAATACCTAAAATTTCTATTTTTAATTTATTCAGAAGTCATTTAATATACAATTAGGTCTATATACACGTACGTGGATGATTTATTTTGTTAAGATATGCCAGTATATGTCAGAGTGCGCGAATGGTACCCATCATAGAACCAGAAATTCTAAATAACGGCGACCACGGAATAAATAGAACGTTGGAAGTTCACGAAGAAGTCTTGTCTATTTTATTTCGTGCCCTGAACGAGCACCGCGTGTACCTTGAGGGTGTAATTCTAAAACCAGCAATGGTCTTGTCAGGAATCAAGAATTCTCTTAATTGCACGCCGCAGGTATAGTAATTAGGCACTGTCGTCGAACAATTTCATTAACTTTTTTTACGAGTCGTGTTTACCGTATTATTGGTAATTTAAAAATATTGCTTTTAGATTATTGCAGAATACACGTTAACAGCTATGCAGAGGACAGTGCCACCGGCAGTGCCGGGGATACTATTTCTGAGTGGTGGACAATCAGACACAGAATCTGTCGTAAATCTAAATGCTATTTGTGCTTACGATGGAAAGAAGCCTTGGAAAATCAGCTTTTGTTATGGACGGGCCCTACAAGTACGATTAAACATTAAAAATCGAATTAACTTCTAAAACATTAACGCTTTCATATTTTTACGAAGAATGCACCAATGAAACTCTGGCACGGGCTCCCAGACAACGTGCAAGATGCTCAGGCATTGTTGCTCGAAAGAGCAAGACTTTGTTCCGAAGCGACTTTGGGTAAAATACAATTAAACGGCGTGTGTACGAAAAAGGCAACGAACGCCCAAAGGACAAGTCTCAACACCGTTGCTCAGACCTAACCTCTAATTGCGTCATGGAAATTCTACTTGAAATTATCTATTAATTGATTCGAACATCGAGAGCAGAAAATCGCAGCTGTTAACGAGACGATACAAGATATAACATTGACGATCCTACCTTATCAATGAGTTCGTCATACGAAGATAAAGGTTCAAGCGAAAAGAAGGTATGCATGATTCGTCACATGCGCGCGAGTACGTCAACCTTAACAGTGAAATGTTCCGTCAATAATTTCGGGGAATGTCGCGCAAGGTGCCCTTGACTGACCTCTAAAACAGAAGTTCTCAATAACAGAGATCCGTGCAGTACGTGCAAGCCACGACGTATACTCAGAATTTTATTCCGCTACTGGTCGATATGACGTCATTTCCGAGGATCCCCACCAACCACCAGCTCCTATTCTTCTCAATTTTATAGGTCCAGCCATCAGCACGTGTACACGCCAGTGTCGTAACAATCGAGTAACTAAATTCGTCTTAATCACATTTTTAATCCGACATTCCAATGATCATTCAATGGAGCCATGAACAAATAAATATTAAACCAATAATAACGTTATGATGTGCGCAATTTTATTGTCCATTTAAATATTTCTCGTACATTCGATGCTCTCCTGATGCTTGATATTATCTTTTATATTAGCTATTTTTTCATTAGAAAATGATTTCAAGCAAAATATTTGCAGTTATTATTTTTATCAATTTCATTGAAAGTAACAACACACATCGATAGAGCTCTTATTATAAGTTCATAAGCGTAATGTATATTCTTATTCGACCATTCCGAGTACTATACGTGGTTCGTTTATAAAAATAAAGCAGGTACGATTTCTTAAATATCATTCTACGCAATAGACATTTTTAAATGGAACGACAATTTCTTCAAAATATATATTAAAGCATCCATCGTATATCTTCCATACAAGTACTTTATTTTAAAGTTTTTGAAATTATATTTTCATTTTTAAAATACCCGCGGAGCCTGCTATGTAATTCGCATACCGACGTCTCTCGATCGGAGTAAGAGAACAAGTGGATGTGGTTGAGAACCTTCGCGAAGAAAGCGGGCGCGCATGCGCCAATATCACTCTGGTTCAGACTTTGAAACCGACAAACACCCTAGACTTACCTCAGTCGCTTTCCAATCAGCGGACAGTACAACGTGCTCTGACACACGTTTCAAGCCAGGAATCAATTCATCGATATTAGGTAAGTTATGTCTGTGAGTGTTCTTGAATGAATAGTTCACGCGAAATCGAGACGAAAAGTGACACGCGTTTCTGCGAACCCGATCGATTCTTTCACGCCACGAAAATTGGTGGGAAATGCAGCTACGGATGTTCGACTTACAATGAGATTCGACCTTGACTGACATTCGGTCGACACCCATTCTGTTCCCCGTGAATTTAAATGCTGTAAGTTTCCAACGACCCGAACAGCATCTTTTTCTTTCGTTACTGTAAATGCAAATTTTACAAGCGAATAGTGTTTTTCTTTTTCATACGTTACAACATATATATATACACAGAAAGGTCAAGTTCACGACATCGTATGCAAATGTTCCGTAGGTTTTTAACATCGAAGAAGTTAATGTTATTCTTAATAACATAAATCAATATTTTACGGCATTCGCATCGAATTATACGAATGGATATACATTACTTATTAGCAGTTACGTTTGAATTATTTTTATTAAAGTACTAAATACTTGTCGATTCGTAATTACCGAAAATTTTCATTAATTGATAAAAATAAATATATGAGTGTTCTTTGAAAAGTATTAAGTTTAAACGAGTACCGGAAGAATCTATTTTGTCTAATAATACCTACGTCACGTGATTCATTGACACACGACTTGAAAAGAACGTTTCGGAGTATAAAGTGTTCGTCTTTTAACGTTTAAAATAAATATCATTCTTTCGAAAGTTAAAATATTTTTTACAATATTCAACCAATATTTTGGAATACTATATTTTGAATCCCATTCACGAGTAATCAGCCAGTGATACGGATATATAATTTTACATATTAATAAAACGTTTAACTGATAACGTATATATACATTATACAATCTGTCGATGATAACGTATATGTGCTATACTCGTTAAAATATAATGCAGTAATATATTAGAAAAGACACATAAAAAAAAACAAAAAATTGCGTCACTTGCAATAATACGTATGACCATTTAACATTAATTACTAACTCGTAAAAGTAATTTTCGCTACTTAAGGCATTAAATTTTAAGCTTTGTTATATTTAAGCATGTATATAATGTAAATTCTTGATAAAAAAAGAGCACCGCCAAATAGTCACAAACACACGTGTCGCGCATCCGAATTGCGTCTTATTTTTCGCTATCTATTTTTATCTATTTTTCTCAATGACAACAGGCTAATTTCGGCGTTAGGATGGATATAATCGATATTGCAATCGATAGTGTTCGTAGGTTAGATGGAATTAGATCAGTTGTTCGCAGGCATGGTTCAATCGTAGCGTGAACTTACGCAATCGACACAGGAACCGCTGTGCTACGTGTCTACGTGCTTATGATCATTTTGTGAAACGAAAGTACATCACGTGCTCGGACAGAACACGGAACGATACACGTACACGGCGGCTGGGCATGCATCTGCGATGCACGCGCACGAACGCAGTCGCATTCACGCACAGTAATTTTTCTGAACCGTTTCGTCACACATTCCATCATCTCATATGTACAAATAAAGCTTTGGCGAATTACCAGTTTAGACGACTAGTTTTGCATATACTTTTGGCGCCCTCCCCTTTCGTCGGGTTCTACTCGTAATAGAAAATAATTCATGTATTCCGGTCTATTAGCATATAGCGTAATGAAAATAATTCTGTTTTTATCTATTCGGTTTTCATGTTCTTGTTAAAAACTTGTTCTGGATTCGTATTTAAAAAACCTAGGTTAGTTCAATATTGTACGAACTCAGTGGTCGATATGTAGTTAAGCAACTTTCACTACTCAAAGCTGTTGATAATTTTTGTACGAATCGAGGAAAATATTCTATATCAATCTTTAATATAATGAAATTACATGATATTTATTAAATATTACGAATAATATTATTACTCTTCTTAACATCTTAATAAACTACTTCATTACTGCTATTTGCCTATTGCATATACCATTCGAAATAAAATTTTGTTTACGATATGACAAATGCACGTTATGTGACGGTTCGTTACAATATCTCGTTTGTTTCACATAGTATTTGCGTTACTCTCTGGTACTGATACCATAATCTTTGGTTTCGTAAGGTGAAATGAAGCATATCTATTACTAATCAGTATTCAAAGAGTAATATCATAACTTTACGATATAACTGTTATTTGTTGATACCGTGTCAGAATTAATCAGCTACATTTTGAGGTTATGTTACTACTGGTAGATCTGCCACTCTCTTACGTTACGAAATACGGAAATTGTAGGACTGGAAATAGGTAATACCGATCACAAGCACCTATTTGTATAAATTGTATATAAATTTATAGATTAGATCGTATAAAACAAATATATAAAATAATTTCCAAATATTCGTAAGTGTCATACAAAACTTTGAAGATGTATCAGCAGCATTCGAAAATAGAAAAGTAATTAATTTTCAATATTTTTACACAAAGATAATACAATTGCAATCACCTTCAAGCCTTCCTTGACTGGCTACGTGCAAATCCATATGTAAGTTCACGATAATAAAGTTCTATCAGTTATTGGTCGTAAACAAGCAACCGATATCAGATAGTAAAATACGAAAACAGTAAACAAGTCGTAATAAAATTTACAATACTATAATTATTGTACGTATCCCTCGTAAATACATTTACGACCACGATAGTGATATGATTTTGTAACGTATCATTTCATACTTTCTAAAAAAAAAAGGAAAAAACTTGTGCTGCAATCTACATTATCTATATCAAGTTAGTTTTTTTTTTAATGCATTTAATCTTTACGCATGAAACAGAATAAAAACAATTTCGTACTCGAATATCGCGAGTACATGTTTACGCGTTATATTCGCGATTTAAATTGCTCCTATTTACACGGATTACGATCAGATTATACGACGTAGGGCAATCGAGATCAACGTGCACGGTTTTCAATGAATATCACGTGTCGCGGTAACGTCTTCGCGGAACGTGTTACAACACGGTCGTACACTTTGATGTCACCTTTAAATAAAACTTTTCACGATTGTTATTTTCCATAGACGGTTCACTGATTACGTTTAATTTTCGGGAGTTCGCATAGCGCACCGAGAACCGCATATTGCGGCCTGCATTGCGCACTACGTATTGAGAGATTACGCCAAACGCCACCGCCAGGTGCGTTTTACTGTGACGTTCACCTCGTCTGAATGCCACGGGTTAAACGGAGTCGAAGCGAGTGCGCATGCGCGCTTGCATATTCGTTACCGATTAACCACAGCTGAATTTTCTTGACGTTATTGACCGCCGGCCGACAAGTTAGAATTGTTGCGCAGATGACTTTTTTAACGGCCGGGATTGAAGTGTTCCTTACCCGCATAAATTTGTTGTAAAGTTCCACGAAAGGCTATAAATCTCTCGTAACGTACAGCGTAACGTTAAATATTCATTTGGTTGCTTCTTAAAAACATACGAAACGAGTTTGATGACTTTGGTATTACAACTAACAATAAGTAGAAATTTTATTATATCGTAGAAAGGGAAGTTCAGGTTTGTAGAAATAATTAATCCGTGACTTTGCGAGTGTTTGGGCGGACTCTATGATATCGACGATGCATAAAATTCTTTTGCACGGACTCGGGATGGTTGTTTTATATTGAATGAAATTTGTCTGGGTGGTTGGGGAATTTCGTGGAATTCAGAGGCTAAAATACGCGTCTGCGCGTACAGATAACACGATACGAGACCATTTTCACGTATTGACCGACACAAGACACCGCGTGGATCTATCGAATCTATTCTTGCGGACGTGTATGTACCTACAATCGCTAAAGTATATACATACGAAATACGTAGTTCGTTATTATCACGACAATTGCAGCATTTTTAGATGTTCTTCGGCGCTGTTTATCGTCGACATTGTTTGCGTTTGTTCTTTTGCTATGGATAATAATAAACGCTGATATTACTTTATATTAAAAGATGGCGGTATCAGAATTTTCCATGCACCACTAAATATCTGAATGTTTATAATCAACGAGTACGAACGCTTCGAATATTCGACGATAGCGTTTGTTTGCGAGTCAATGTTACGCAATCAGGATGAGAAATACGCAATCAAACATCGAATGTTCAAGTAAATTGATTCAACTCCTGATTATTCAGACGGGGTGAAAAAGTTGCAGTATATTTTCCATCCTAACATCGATTATCTGTTTTCGATATATTCGTTTCGTATCTTTTAACCCTTTGTAGTATGAATTTCTATCTCGACCATATTACGGTGGAACTTGTTGAGTGTTTTAGGTTATGATATGAAAAAAACTATAGATATAGATTTTATTAT